AAACAACTTCACACTTAAAACTCTTGCTCTCTCTGCAAGACTATGGCTATTTCTCCCATGGCCTTTTCGAGCTCTAACATGAATGTGTTCTAGATGACTCATTGGTCATTGTCTCTAGAGTCACGCACTCGGCTACCACTGGTAATCCGGTAGTATCAGTGGCTATAGATAGTCGGTGGCTACTGGTCGGCTTCAGTATCTGCGTGAAAAGTCACTGAGTGATCATTAGTCATCTATTGGCACCATTCTGAGTTACCCAGTGGATGACGGTTCGTGATCCCATACCAATGTTGTCATGATATGAACCAGAGAAAGTGATGCCACGTACTTCTTGACCTTGTAAATATGCAAGCGCGCACTCAATCAAAATAGTATAAATGTCCCGTAATAATCTCCAAATTAAACGAGAAAACAGTACTAAATCTAATTCTTAAATAAGCTAAATACCCGATCTCAAGACTTCAATTACGTATAGATAAAAATACTTAAATTAAGCTAAATAGCCAATCACAATGCTTCAATAACATAAACTTTGATTAGCAAAAGGAAAAAAAAAAACTGCAATATCACTTTTTTTTTATTAGTGTAATATCACTTGATGCACAAGTGCATCAAAGACTTTGAAGAGACTGTAATGTCACATATCACATAACTAGGACATGAAGGCTTCAAGTCCATACAACTATCTCACAAATGTCTAATTGTCCAATCACTCATATTGATCCCATCTACTAATTCCTTCAAAGATATGTAAGGGATAAATAAAAAAGTGAGCTCAATTACTAGTTGGATCAAGCATATGTTATGAAAACGAAGTCTTACTATAATAATTTTTCATCAATAATTATTTAATAAAGATTGAACTTTAATTAGAATCAATACTAATTAAAGCAACGAGTCAAATATCAATTTCAGAAACATTCCAATGAGTAAATAATCTAACAAAGTAAGGATGTCATTTGGTTGCCAATCTTTTAGGAAACCATCAAACCAATAACAAATATAAAAATGCATTTTTTTTTCAGTTTAAGCTACTATGACTTCCCTTAACCCATGTGGGTAGGTATACATCTACCTTACTTAACCTCGTGCTTAGGTCTGAATCAGTGGGGGAACTTTGGGCCGGCGGGCAGGCCCATTGCCCGAATTTTTCGGGCTCGGCGGGCAAGCCCAATTGCCGGCCCGTCCAAAGATGAAATTTCAGGCTTGGACTCGGGCAGCCCGAAAATGAACACCATGCCGGAGCCCGCTACCGTCAACCGCCGTCCGGCGGCATTTTTTTGAATTTTTCCGGTCAGGCCCGAATTTGCTCGAATGCCCGAAAACCCGAAAAGGGTAAAAAATTTGACTGTTGGAGCCCTACCCGACCCGAAGCCCGAAAATGCCCGACTGCCCGAAAACCCGTCCAACGGCTAGTTATTTGACCGTTGCCCGAAAATGATTGCACTCTTTTTTCCTTGCCAAGTTTTTATCCTAATTGGGTTTTTCTTGGTAAGGTTTTTAACGAGACAATCATGAATTACAAATTTAATATATATCATTTGTAAATATGATTAATTTATTCAATTGTGTTAATAATGTCTATTGAATGTTGATTTTAATTTTTATATAATTTTAATACAAACTAACTTAATAATTATAAAAATTAAAAAATATTAAAAAAAATTTCAGGCTATTCGAGTGGGCTCGGGCTGCCCGGCCGGGTTCGGGCAGCCAAATATAAGCCCGCGGCCCGTTCAAGGGCATTTTCGGGCTCGGGCAGGCGGCCCAAATTTTTTTGGCGGGGCAGGGGCTCGGACAAAAACTAAGTATTTTTTGGGCGGTCGCGGGCAGACCGTCCAAAGTTCCAGCACTAGTCTGAATTAACCACATTCAACCTCTATGTCTAAATCTATATTAACTATACTTAATCCTTTGTCATTTGGTCCACATTAATGGGTCCTAAAAGTAAAGGTTACTACTCAAACTTAAAATCTCTTTCCGCTTAAGGATATAAATAGTTCTATGTGTAAAGAGTGGCATACTTATATAATTCGGAGGAGGCATGACATCTCCACATGGCATATAAATTCTTCTTGAAGTGAATTGCCCATATACCCAACCACCGCAGCGGTCCCATTAACGGGTCATTTAATCCACTTTAATGGGTCCTAAAAGTAAAGGTCACTACTAGAACTTAAATTTTTTTTCTCCTTAAAGATATAAATGGTGCACTTAAGTGGCATATTTAGATAATTCAGAGGAGGCTGACATTCTCACATGACATATGAATGCTTTTTAAAGTGGATTGCCCATAGACCCCCGAACATTGCAGTCGGTCCTAACTTGACCCGTGACTTCTTGCATGGGTCCTAAAAGTAAAAGTTACTACTCGTATTTAAAATCTCTCTTTCCTTAAAGATATAAATGGTTATCAGTGTAGAGAGTGGCGTACTTAGATAATTCAGAGAAGGCATGACATCCCACATGACATATGAATTCTTCTCGAAGTGGATTACCCTTATACCCAACCACTGTAGTGGTCCATTAATGGGTCATTTGGTCCACATTAATGTGTCCTAAAAGTGAAGGTCACTACTAGGACTTAAAATTTTTTTTCTTCTTAAAGATTTAAATGGTTATAAGTGCAGAGTGTGGCGTACTTAGATAATTCAGAGGAGGCACGACATCCTCACATGATATATGCATTCTTCTCAAAGTGAATTGTTCATATACCCCGACCACCGCAGCGGTCCCAACTTGAACCCAGGACTTCTTGCATGGGGGACGAGTAGGCTTACCATCCATCCCGTCACACTAGAGCTTAGAGGTTACTCTGGTTGTCATGGCATACAATTGAGCTTGAAAGAAGTTCTTAACTAAATGTCATAGTCCGATCTTTTTACAATATGACCGTGCAGTACTTAACACTTTCAAGATACTAAGTCAACCTCACTAACTCGAAATACTTAGGCTAATGGTTAGAGAAAAGAGTAAGAGAACAAAGAAAGAAAGCTTTACCAACTCATGAAAAGAAATACAAATGAGTAAGTTGTCTTGGATGGATCTATGGAGTTTCCATCCATGGGAGTTGGTCTTAAATGAGGATCATTCCTCCTATTTATAGGCCAATAGGCTTCCTAATGATTAAATTTAATAATCAATACCGTCTCTATTGATAGGGAGGTTCTATTGGAAAAAAATCACAATTAATTAAGCTCAATTCTTTATACAGAAGTAATTTATTGGAATAGAAATTCTCCAAAAAAAAAAGTGTTATTCCATTATGAGAAATTACAAAAACTGACCCTTAAACATATCATTATAGAGTTTTATTATTTTAGTATGATAAGTTACTCATTGATAATAATCTGTTAAATTATAGATTAATAATTTCAAATTTTAGACAATAATATGTTAAATTACGCCTATCATCGGCTATCAAAGACTTACTACCGATGACATCTGTTAAATTATTAATAATAATTTATTAAATTATTTATTTTAAAAAAATAAAATTTAATATATTAATATTAAGACGTAAAAATCTTTAATTATACAATTTTAAAAGATATTTATCAAATTAATCCTTTCCTTTATTCACCCACAAAAAGCCTGCTGCGAACGCTCAAGGGCCCAAAGCGTACCGCACCCGCACTTTGTCCAGAGTCAGAAGACAGAAAATGCTCCACAAATACCAAAATTTCTCATGATGGGTTCGGTGGTCTAATCATATCAAACCACCTATGAACTTTGACAGTTTGACTTTCTCACTAAAGAAAACACACAAACAAGTTCAAGGCTTCAACCGCATAAATAGAAATTTAGAGTAGTTTATTTCATAGATTAGAATTATGTGATTAAAATTATTTTTAATTTATGTGTATTTTTTATAAAAAAAAATATTATAATAAACTACGAATCTTGATTCGAATCAGAAAATAAATCTCTCTATCAAACATCACCAATTCACTAATCACTAGTCACTATTGCTTAATAACGTACGACAATAACTCTCTTTGCTGCTATAAATGCTTTTATTTTATTACATGACAATTATTACTCATTTAAATCCAACGTAAGGGATACGGCCCCAATTAAAATTCTAGACTTCCAGAGTTTGGCGAAAGTGACAGCAAGAAAAATCTGTCTTTAATTCCCTCAAAAAAAAAAAAAATCTTTCTTTAATGTCTTTTGGAAACGACATCAATTATGCCAATTAAAGGTCATGATTATAAAAAAAACAAAAAAAGAGTGAATAATTGACATCAATTAATTGCAGAAAATGGGATTGATTCATCTTTACTCATGCACTTCACAGGAGTAGTACAGACTGTCCAGATCTGTGCTACATATGCATTAATTTGTTACGGAAAAAAAGAACAAGGATTTTTTTGGCATGAATTTATTATGAGTTAGTAAATTGTTCTTTAAACTTTTAAATTTAGTAAGTTGACTTTTAAATTTGTAAATTTATTACAATGTGCCTTAATTAACTAAATTTACTTAAATTTTTAAAAGATTTAAATGATTAAAAGTTGAGATATTAAAATATTTATATTATATTTGAATTAAAATGTTAAAATTTTTAAGTTTTTTTAATACTAATTTAACATAATCATCGTTAAAATATAACATATTATAAGAATTTTATAAATTGAGAGAATAACTTAACAAAATAAAAAATTTAAGAATCAATTTGCTAAATCACCACAAATTTAGGGGACATATATGTTAAAAACCTAAAAGAAAATGACATCCAAGTTTCAACAAACAAGTTATCAGGTACTGGAATAATAGAATTGGGTAGCAGATTTGGTACGTTGAAAACTTAAAAAAGAAAAAGAAAAAAAAAAGAAAAAGGAAAAAAAAGAGTGTCGTTTATGTCAGGCCTTTAATAATTGAACCTACGTGGAACCAGTTGCCAACGTGCGCCACACAACATGATTGGATGACCGGAAAAGGGCAGTGCCTGCTTACTATTCCATTTTTTTTTTTTTTTAGTAATCGCTTAAGAGTTAAAAGGACTCTTGAGTTTTCACAGATCGCATAAGTCTTTCTCAGAACCAAAAGTCTGGTTTTTACCGGTAATGATATGGAAGTTTTGAGAGGTAGTTAGAAACTGTACTCTCTTTCTCAGAGCTTTCTCTGGCGGTTCCATTTTCTGGTGAGGTTCCAGGAAAGACCCAGAAAGATTTCTCCCCCAGGTACACCTTTTCTGAGGATCTACAAGTTAATTTTCTTGGGATTCTTGTGTTTGTTTGCCTACAATGATGTTTTGTATAATTGTATCATTTTTTGTATTGAATTGTATAATTGTATCACTTTTTGTGGTTTAGCTTTGGAGGTTGCTGGGATTTGTGAAAGGTAACTTGGGTAAAGTTTATTTCTAGAATAGTTTGTTAAACGGCTGTTCTTGTTTCTAAAGTTGTATGTTTGACCCTTTTGTTTTATTAAACTTTGCTTTTAATTAGAGTCTCAATTATATTGCTCAGTTTTAGATCTTTGGTTCTTTTAAGAAAGTTTGGAGAGAGAGAGATAGAGAGAGAGAGAGAGAGAGAGAGAGAGAGATGAAGAAATAAATGTTTGTCAATTCAGTCATTGAAAAAGGAATTAGTACTTCATTTTCTCTTGGACTTTAAGTTGTCACAGGATTTTTATGTTTGAATTACGGTAGATTGAAGCTTGAAAGCTTTCTCCAGGTCCATTTCAGAAAGTCGGCTCTGACTTTAATGCCATTTTCCTACCTCTCTTTTGAGTGAATTAGAAGAACTCCACTTTCAAAGAATGTGTATTTTTTTTTTCTTTTTGCTCTGAAGGAGAATTTGTATTTTCATATACCACTTCTACAAAAAATTTAAGCATAATGTACATGTAAAAATGGCACGGTGAATAACAAAGGCCTCGTTCGTTTCGCTAGTTCGAGCTTTCAACTTGAGTTGAAAAGTGAATTTATGTGATATAAAACATTGTAGCACAAAAAGTTGAATTTGAATTTTTGCGAAAGAAGACACTGTAGTAAAATCTTGAGTTGTGATTTGAAGCAACGAAACAAACGGGGCCTTAGGCTTTAAAACTTGTACTAGACTTGTTACCTGTCTTCTTTTAGGACATTATTACTGGAGATTTTTAGATTCAACACTTAAGAGTAATTAAGCCCTTTTCTTTTTCTTGACTAGGTTGTTAAAAACCCTAATATCTGTTCGGAAATGGAGGATCCTATTACTGATATTGATATTGAGGGTCCAGATCCTGACAAAAAGGACATAGATGAAGTGAAAGATAAAGAGACTCTAGAATTGGAGAGCTGCATGGAAGTTTTAACAAAATTGGACTTGGACTTGGCATACTCTTCTGAAAAGCTGGTAAATCTCCATGGACTTTCGATGCACCTTTCGGCTCAAGAAAACGAGCTTGAAGCAAGGGCAATGGGGAATAACTATACCTCAACAGAGTTTGTGGAGAAGACATTGGTATTTGATCTCTTATCCGGCGTGTTGGAATCCGAGGTAAGAGAGCTGGACAGTTTCATGGTTAGTCTCCAAGCAGAAATTGTTGATGCCCATCAAAAAATATCTTCATGCAGACACTTGACAGAACCTTACACTATGATGGAAGAGAAGTTGCATGACTCTGAAGAGTCTTTGAAACAGACCCAGCATCGGATTTCGGAAGTGAAGATTCAATCAACCAAGCTACAGAGAACTGTTCTAGCTTTTGCACATGATAATTGTAAGTTGCAAACTTATCTTTCTCATAAAGGAGTTTATTTCAACTCATAATTGTAAATTACAAACTTACCTATTGAATGAATTTATCAGGGAAAGGTAACATTGACGAATCGATGTCGAATACAAATGGTCAATCTAATCTACAGATTGCTGGACAGAGACATATTTTAAAGATGTTGGAGAAATCACTTGCAAGAGAGCTAGATCTCGAGAAGAAGTTGGCGGAATCAAGAAGAAGTGAGGAAGAACTGAGAGTCAAGTTACATTACACCGAACAAGTAGCTTTTCACATGGAAGAAACTGCACAAGTAGTTTGGGGAAGATTTTTAGAGGCTGATAATTCTTCTGTGGTGCTCAAGGGAATTTCCCACGAGCTTTTAGGTCGACTACAGCTTGTTCAGTTCAATTTGAATGGCACGGTTCAAAGAGAAAGTGAGTTGAAGTCGAAATACCAAGATTGTCTTCAAGAGCTTGAAGAGAAAAATGCTGTCTTAGAGAAGCTCAAGAGTAGCACTGCAGAAAATAGCGCGTATGAAGCTGAACTCTCTGCTTTGAGGGAAAAAGTGCAGGTTTTAGAGGAGAAGCTGAAAGAATCTGAACTCAAGCTAAAAAATGCAAATGTCATAAATCACTCGAGTCAAATAAAACTAAGGGAAATGGAAAATATAGTGGAATCACTGAAAGAAAGTATTGATGTAGCAGACACTAGAGCCGAAAGTGCAGAACTCAAAGTTGCAGAGTTGAATGGAACAAATGTAGAACTTACTGAGGAGCTGAATTTTCTCAAAGGAAGTGTTACTAACACAGAAAAGAAGGTTGGTGTTCTCGAGAAGCAGTTGAGAGAAGCAGAGATCCAGTTGCAGCATGCGAAGGCGTCTTCCGAAGCCAGCCAAGAGCAGCAGAATATGTTATATTCTGCAATTTGGGATATGGAAACTCTAATAGAAGATCTGAAATCGAAGGTTACAAAAGCAGAAAACAAGACAGAAACTAGTGAGGAGCATTGTATTATTTTGTCCGAAACTAATGAAGAACTGACTAAGGAAATAAGTACTTTAAGGGACAGAATAGAATACTTGGAGGCATCGTTGGTTCAGGCAAAAAATGCAAAATTTGAAAGCGCAAATGAGATTAATGTCAGGACTAAGTTCATGATGGACATGGTGTTGCAACTAGCAACTGAAAGAGAACGCATCCAAAATCAGGTATGTATATATACATATACATACATACATATATATATATATATTTATATATATCACCTTGTATAGGCTTTTGAGTTAATAGTTATAACTTCTTTGCAGTTAAATGTGTTAACAAAGGAGAACAAGACTTTCGCTGATAATTTCGGTTACACTGTAAAGAATGTCTACAATGAAGAAGAAGATGACCATGATGACAAAGAACTTTCTTCTTTCAAGACTAATTTAAGCAATTCTTCTTGTGCAAAATCTTCCTTGGAAGCCGTGAACGATTCCATTGGTAAAAGTTTGGAGGCAGGTATTCTTTTGTCTCTTAATTCTTTTCATGGTACTTGCAGATAATGAGATGTGAATTTAAACAAAAGTTGTGAGCTTACTTTTGATAGTTTTTCAATTTGGTGGACAATTTTTTGCTGAAAATTTTTAGTTTGACAGAATCAGTTGGATGAATCATCAGAAGAAGAAGAATCGTTATGCGAAGACGGTGAGAGCGACGCCGTTTCTGTAGATGATTCTGATGGCACGGTCTCAAAGCTTCAAGACTCAAGGGCGGCATCAGCTAGATGCCTGAACTTTAAGTATTTTCTAGTGGCAATATTTGTTTCATTGGTTTCAGTTTCAGCCATGTATTTGATCAACCACAAACCTTTCCTTTTTCATTGATTCTTTCGCGGATGAATTTACCATTGTCTTAAATCAATTTGGGTTTTTGGGTTTTGGGTGTTTCTTTTTCTTTTTCATATATTGATCAGCACATGAATTCTGTCCCATCGTATTATACTACATGCTTCTGCAACAGTCTCATTTTGCTCCTTTGTCCTCTTTCACTCTGAGGTTTCCTTCACATTCACTATAGTATTAATTATGTATTTATTTTTTACTTTAGGAGAATTATGGCCCGTTTAGTTCGTTGATTCGAGTTTTTAATTCAAGTTGAGATGTGATTTTATGTGAGAGATTTTTACTGTGGTAAAAAAGTTAAATGTGATTATACTGTAGCTAAACTCGAATTGGTGAAATGAACGAGACCTTAATATCTTAGAAATATGGCATAATTTTAAATTTTCGGATCACATCAAAATTATGTCAAATTAAATATATATATATATATGATTAATTAGCAGAACTTGTACATGAGTGTGTCTACCCTATTGTACAATTCTACTTGTTTTTAATCATCTTTAATAATCATGTGCTAAAGTGTCTAAATCGAAAATGCTGGCACATTTTAATCTTGCAGTTTAAAACCACACTTGAATTTTATACTTTATTTGATCTTTTTATAGCAATAAAAAACAATAGATTTAATGATGATATTGATTTAAATTATTTTTTTATTACTGTCATGCAGTAATTATTTCAAAGACATTTGGAGAGAAGCAGAAGATTTTGTAATGACTCTGCCAACTTTTCCATTGATGTAAAATTTATAATATATCATATATAATGTACAATAGGAAAGGAATAAATAGTTACAATTGATTCTGATTTCTTAATCTCAAGAACGTAGAAAATCAATATCCTTATCGTATTCGTCGTACAATGGACAATTTGTTATAATGATTATAGTTATTATTTAATAATAATGACACAAAAAAAAAAAAAAAGTAATCAAAACTACTACTACTCAGTAAATTTCTTTTAAGTGCTACACAAAAAATTACCCAAGGATAAAAGGACATTTCTGCTACACATAATGGTGCTTTTGAGTGAATGTGAATCAAGCTAACATGGATTTATGGTGTTTTTATCCTATATTAATATTAAAAAAAATCTCAAATTTTACATAATTAAGGGTAAAAATGCAAGCAATTTAATTAATTAATTTTTTTTTTTGCTAATCAGCAAGCATTTTTTTTTTAACGGAATCAGAAAGCAATTTAAAACTTAGTTCTATCATTTTAATGTTTTTTCAAAGTGTGAAGAAAATGCATAATTTAGAGATACAAGAACGGGCCGGCCCATCCCGTTCTCCTTAGGTCCACGCGAGTCGCGGGCCTGCCCGTATAAGAATGACCTTGACCCAGGCCACACCACGGGCTAATTTTACGTGGGTCAGGCTGGGCTGTGCCGCGGGCCAAGCTGGGCTGCGCCATTGGCCTTGAATGAGCTGGTCTACTCAATGCCCATATTGGCCCATCATGGGTTTAGATGGGCTGGCCCATCTAAACATACAATTTTCAAATTTTTTTTTAATTTTTAAACAAGTTAACAAATATATAAGTTTGAATAGTCAATGAAAATATGAAAAGAGATATTTTATTTACGATTACCTCATTAAATAAAACCTTTATAAGGAAAATCCTGTGAGACAAAGCCTTGGTAAGGAAAAAAGAGTACAATTAAGATAATTATACATAAGATGTTGACAAAATTACTATAAAAAAAAACATTTAAGATGTTATGGGCCTAGACGGGCTGGGCTGAGCCGGCCCATTATGGGCCTAGACGAGCCGTGTTGGGCCGGCCCATCATAGGCGTAGACGGGCTGGCCCAGCCCGGCCCAAGCCCGACCTGGCCTATGATTTTTAATGGGCCGTGCGGGGCCGGCCCATGGGCCGATATATGTTGGCCCAACCCAGCCCACTAATATTTATGGATTGAGCTGTGCCTTGAACAGTGACGGACCGTGTCGGCCCGACCCATCACTATGTCAGGATGGGCCTAGACTGGCCCACGGGTCCCGGCCCATTGTTGCATCTCTAGCATAATTTCCTAGTTAATTATTATTATTATTTTTTTTTGCACTATTAATGATTTGTCTTCATAACTACCAACCACCAAGTTACGGCAAATAATAATATATATAAAAAAAAAGTTACGGACAAAAAAAAAAGATAAAAAGGAGGAAACTTGTAAAAATAAACTCCACGCTCACAGCCACGGATGAGTCATGCAAAACGCTACGTTTTGAGGCCAAACAAGAGAATCCCAATTCTCCAAGCCCTAACCCTAGAGGGCCAAAAACCCTTATAAAAACCCCGTCTTTATACCAAACGCCACCGAATTTCGCCATTGAATCTCCAAGAAAAGCTTACCAAAAAGCGGCTATGGCTTCTACTGAATCTGGCAATATTTAAGATCACTTTCAACGCTTCTACTGTGTGCACTGTTGAGGTATATTCACATCAATTCCACTTTTTACTATTTTTCTTTTTTCAATTGTGGATTTAGTTGATACTGAGATTTTCGAATCCCCCTTTTTAAATAATCGCCATGCGAGGCACCAGGTAGCCCCTTGCTGCTTAAAGTTTTTAGCTTGCAAGGAAATTTCGAGAAAAGCGTATTTTAGGTGCTAAATTGGAACTTTTGGCATGAAATTGTGCAGTGAATTCGAGGTTTCTCTGCAAAACTCAGTTACGCCAAATGAAAATAAAAGATTGTCTGTTGAAAGTTAAGAATGGCAAAGCAAAATGATGAAAAGTGTTTGATTCTGAATTTCTAATGTGGAAGTTCTTTATAGTGGTCTTCAAAGTTCTCTGATTGCTTTGCTTCATATTGTGTTTAATTGAGATTGTGGGTCGTTAGCAAGAAAAAAAAAGTGCGTTTTTCTTCTATGTTATGTAAATTTTTTTTCCACGGTTTTCATGTTTAACACAGTAATCTTAGTATAGTTTCTAGGGCCTTTATGTAGTAACAAGCTGATATTCTAAACGCAAAAGCAGAATGATGAGGTTTTTGTAACTGAATATGATGTGGAACTCATATCAAATTGGTCTTCAAAGTTCTCTGATTGCTTTTGCTCAAGTTATAACGTCTAGATTTTAGTTTAGACCTAGTTGCTTAGCTTATAAGTTATTCTTGAGTGCTATTATAGATTTGGCCTTCTATGGCCTTTTTGTTTTGAGAATCTTTAGTTGGTTTGGTAACTTGTAAATACTGTGAGTGTTTGTTTATTTATTTATTTATTGTAGCATTTATTAAGGGAAAATGATCGTGAGCACCAAAATTCATAGTCTGTAATTGACATGTATTTCAGACTACACGAGCATGGTGCAATAGAAAATCTTTCTTTGCTTGTTCATGGTGCTTTTGTCTGTGTAATGACAGTTGAGGCAGAGCCAGGAAAGAACATATTGGCATTGTGTTGAAACTGCTTTTGGCGATTTTACAATGTGGCTTTGGATCTCTTATTGAATGTTAATTCATCATACGAATCAATCAGGGCCCGTTAAACACTGTAGCAAAAGGGTCTGAACAATAGTCCAAACTTATGAAACAAATGCATGGCTGAACAATGAGCTCAGAAGTTGGATGGCCTCAGATTAACAGGGCTGTCACGGTCTACTAGCTAAAAAGTTAGAATACCTGTGAACATGCTTTCATTGAATGCTGACAACCATAGTCGTGGAGAGCAAGAGTAAGGTGATTCCATTCCTGGAATCTCTCAAATAATCAGTGATGTTATTCCAACGCCTGGTTTTAGTTTTCCGTAGATTTGTCCGGAGAAGAAAAGGAATTAGAAGAATGGACAAGAAATTAAAGGAAAAAGTTGGAGATAGCGATTATGATGATTACGGCCTTATTCATTTTACCGATTTGAGTTTAGAATTTGAGTTTTATTACAGTAAAAAATTCTTAAAAACAGTCACATTTAATTTTTTTATCACAATAAAAAGTTTTAAAATCACATCTTAACTCGAATTAGAGAATTAAATGGGCTCTATAATTTTTAAGTTTTCATTGGATTAGCAATAGCCAATCGAGAAGCAAGGAGTTAGATTTTGCCGACAATGGTTATAGTGAGCATGAATTACAGTAGTAATCCTATATGTCCTGATGGAAGAGAGAGATCTGTCTCTTTCTTCTGTCTTCCTCTCTATCTCTCCAATATATTTGTGACACATCAATCAATAAACGGCATAAAAAATGGCTTCTGTTAATTTTTTATTTCCCAAAAAATCTCACATTTCCTCTCTCTTCTGTGTACTTCACTCTCTCCCATCTCTGTCTGATAAAACTTAAAAGACTGTTCCTAGAAAAGCATTCAATCAAGTACCATAAACAGGTTGATATGAAAAAAAAAGAATATCCAGCACTAGATTTTAAATGGAAACGGAGAAAAGAAGGTAATTTATTGCCCAAAGTCAAAAAACCCAATTTGAGAATTTCAGGTCTCTCTGATAAAACTTAAAGACTGTTCCTAGAAAAGCATTCAATCAAGTACCATAAACAGGTTGATATGAAAAAAAAAGAATATCCAGCACTAGATTTTAAATGGAAATGGAGAAAAGAAGGTAATTTATTGCCCAAAGTCAAAAAACCCAATTTGAGAATTTCAGGTTAAAAAAAACAGTCGAGAGAGGTAGAACGATGCGAGAGAGTGAATTTCATAGAAGAGTAAGAAATAGGAGTGTAATTCAGTCAGGTAGGTTCGGGTTGGGCCGAAAAGTTGGGTTAAGTTGTACAGTGCGGGTTGAGAAAATTTTAGTATGCAACATCTTATTAAGTTCATAAACTCGTAACTTGTCAGGTGATCTCAAGTAAGTTTATGTTACTCGTGTTGGTCGGCTTAGGCCTCAAAAAAAAAGAGAATGGAACTACCAAAGAACAAATTTATCCAAAATATTATAAATTTGAACCTTCTCACTAGGAGATTCAAATGAAAAACTCCAAATCCGTGGAGAAGGTGAATGGAGAGATTGAATCTGGGCTGAGAAGGTGAATGGAAATGGAAAAGAGGTGATGGGTACTGGGAAAAAATGGGAGGAAAAGAGGTGGGGATTGGAGAAAAAATGGGCGGAGAAAAAATGAGAGGAAGAGAGGTGGAGGGGACTGGGGAAAAAATGAAAGGAAAAGAGGTGGTGAATTGGGGAAAAATTGGGCGTAAAAGTTGAAAGGGTTTCTTCTGAGAGGAAAAGAAGCGGTGGGAACTGAGAAAATATGAGATATGTTCTTTATATACAAGGATTGAGGAGGTAGGGTTTTAGTTAAGATTTTTAATAAGTAATAATAATATATAAAAAATAAATTTTGAAAAGCTCTTTTTTTCCTTATGTCGGCTGGGTCGGCTTTACTCGGGATTTCAATCCCCAAGCCGCACACCTACCCACAGAGTGCGGGTAGACAAATTTGAAAGCTGCCAAAAAAAATTAATAAAAGAGAAGCCGGATTTTTTGGCTCGGTAGGTGCGGGCAGGCCGGGTTTAAAAAATTTTTGTACACCCTTAGTAAGAAATATGGGACACGTTACGGGTGTGTTTGGTTAGTGTATTCGTGTCATAATTTAAATTATAATTTGTAATTTATTATAGTATTTTTTCTCATAAAAAACACACATAAATAAAAAATAATTATGAATCATGAGTATGAATTTATGAACTAAATGTCCACGTAGAGAGTTAATTTTTTTTTTAAAATTTTTTTTTTGAGAACTCCAATTTAACACTGTTAGAGGCTCTTTTTAATTAAGCTAATAGATAAAAAAAAAAAATGAGGGAGACTGACTGACAAAAGAATGAGATAAAGGATCCACCTCCGTTTATATAGGGGCCCGTGATGGGTACACGAAGTGGGACCGCTCACAGAATTTATTCCCATCAAAAAAAGTTGTGGAGAGGAGGGTTGTGGAGGGCTTTAGGTGGGATTTGTGTGTTCTTTTCGCTTGTAATTTCATTTTTAAATTGTATAATGACCATATCACACACGGAAAAAAAAACTATAACTAAAATAACGGTATCAGCGTTTTTAATTTTTAAAATTACATACGAAGTAAAACCACACTATCAATAAAACCTATTATTAAATAAGTAAGGACGGACGTCTAATTAATTGTAAATCCTTTCATCTTAATTATAAGAGAATTTGAATTACCTTAAATTTTACTTAAAAATAGTGTTATTTTGCTTCTCTTTGTATCAAAATAATAATAATAATAATAATAATAATAATAATAAAATGCGTCATTATATAAATGATATTATCCTTATTACAAGATTTGAATTATTATAAAACGTGTTATTATATAAACGATATTATCCTTATTACAAGATTTGAATTATTATAAAACGTGTTATTATATAAACGATATTATCCTTATTACAAGATTTGAGGTACTAAAAATGGGAAATGGTTTATCATGATCACAATAACGAAATAAGCATGTGATATGATTCTAATTATTAAATGCATATATTTAACTAAATAAAATAATTATGAGTACAATATGGAAAATAGTAAATGCCTATAATTTGTCAAATCTAAAAACGTGGCAAAAGGAGCTCAATGGATATTTTAGCAACCGAAATAAATAGCCATGTAATTCAAAATATCAGATCTAAATTATATGTTTAATTTTGGTGTCTAAAATGATATATAATTATTCAAATTGTCACATCATCAAAAAATTTAAAATATTTTTAATTAACTTTTCCTCAATTTAATATTTAAATTTATTAAATAACTTGTGTTATTGTGATTAATTAGACATTGAGACACTAAAAATTAAATAATAGATTTAAGTAAAAAAAATCAACTATCGAAGTGATGTTTTGACAACTTCCTGTTTCAATATACGTTCTCTTTTAATGTACCTTCTTAAAAGAGGTCAGAGTGTAATTTTTTTTTTTCAAAAAAAAAAGAAGCTATAATACTCCAATGCAATCAACATACGTTTAAGATTTGACCAAAATTATTTGCTTTAGATATGCACTAAAGTCCGCAAATTTGATGTGATCCTAGAAATCATTTAACCAAATCAATTGCAACAGATACACAGTAATTATGCAAATTAAAGCTCCTAAATTAGATGTGATTTGACTAAATATATAAAGATAGGTTCGAGGCAAATTAAATCAATGTGATTCTCTCATTCATGTCACCAAAAAAAGTTTCTTATGACTAAATATATATATATATATATATATATATATATATATATGGGTTAGAGGCCTAAGTGCCTTGCAGTACTTCCATAGTAGAGAAGCCATAATCATCTTTCATCCTTGCTAAATTGCTATCATACCAATTCCTGAAATATGGAGAAGTCTTCACACAAGAAGTTTGGTCTCTTGGTTGTATTCCTATTGCTCATCACTCTAGGTAAAACTCAATATTTTGCTCTTTTCCGTCATTTTTTCCTTGTTTTAAAATAATGTCGAAAGTCATTATTAAAAAATTTAAAGGGTGACATAGCCACTTTCATAAATATATATAGCAGAATTTATAATTATTTAGGCGAAACCGAAAAATATATTATCGTTAATTATCCCAATGAATCTACTATGAACATTTTGTGTAGTTACAAAAAAAAAAAAAAAAAAAAAAGATTGTAACACACATGGTCGTAAATTAAGTTATTTTTGCTGAACACTCAAAATACATGAACCTTTGCAGAGTTGCCTATGGAAGCTGAAGGAAGGAATGTGATATCGCTGCGGTGCAAAGAAACTGAAGACTGCTTGTTTGTGTGTCGTAAATGCTCTAATTGCAGTTGTGAGGACACTTGGTGCACTTGCCTCGATGACAAATGGCCGCCGACGGCACAAACCGCCTTGCCCTTGAATTAGAAGAGGCCGAGATTATTAATATTAATCATGAAATGATTAGATATCTTGTCTCGTGCTTGTGAGTGGATTATGATCTTTTTAATTTTGTTTTTTTTAATATTAATATCAATAAAGAAAAGTATAGACTTATTTGAGTTGCTTAGTAAGGTATCTGGTTTTGATGAAAATAGTTACGAATCGGTTTTGCATAGTAAAATAAAATACTTATAGCAAACTAAAACTCGTCCACATC